AGTTAGCAGGTCACCCAAAAACATGCTTCAGTAAAGGACAGAAACCACCAAGTGTACCAGTAGAGAGTCCCTTACGCCTTGTCTACAGATCCTATCACAGATTTTTGCATTGCAAGTCCACACTAAGAATGTAGATCCCCAGAATGAGAAAGATAGGATGAGAAAGGAGACAACCTCAGAAGAAATAATGCCTCATTTCACACAAGCATGAGAAATGAGTATGATCCATTATTCTTACTGGTACCTATCAGATGAGAGTCATTACCAGCTTCGATTATACTGGCTGTGGTCTTGTGGAGGACTTCATCCCTGGGGGCATCTGTGGGATTTGTGATGCCTTCAGAGCCATGTCTTGATTCATTATCTGAAGGTAGAGGTGGTTGAGTTGGATCTTTGTGGTGGGCATCATCAGGAGAGGCAACAGCTGTTACCATGATGTGAGTTGCCCACGCTTCGTGGGTTATATCTTCTGGTACCAGAACATCAGTGGAGGCTGTGACTGTTGTGATGATGGCTAAGTTAACTTCAAAGACATTTTAAAAACCCTACCTTACAAATTTCTCCCTCTTTATTTAATTCAGCAATCTCTAGTCTTTTATTTATTAGCCTATGTAGAATATGTAGCGAGAAGGAAAAAAAACAAAACCCACAAGCAAAGAATATCTTCTGTATATGTCACGCTTTTTAGGTTGTCTGTTCCTTCACTAACACCCTAATAATAAAGTTTAATACCAATTTAAAATTACACTACTGAAAGTTATCGTCACTAAGCAAAATCAGAAACCGAAATATGAATTTACAAACAATGCAGCCTGAAGTGTCAGTTTTGAAAATACCTCACAAACACTACTTAGAAGGGCAAAAATAGTAATGTTATTTTCATAATAAAATGAGTATAAGAATTCCTGTTGTTACACAGGAATTACATTAGAATGGCTAAATTTAAAACATTTGAATAAATTGCTAAATCATACTTGCTTTTTCATATTTGCAACTGATCTGTCAAATCACATAAGCTTAATAAACAATGAACTGTGAAGCTTTACCAAATCTCCTTCATATTTAGAAAACAGGAGTAGGGGGTAGAGAATACAACTATACTTTAATCCACAAACTATATTTTAATTCACACAATCTTTAGCTTTCATAGGTCTTTGGCAAATCCTAAATGTTGTGGATTAAATAATTCTGATGAAAATGGATTTTGAAGAAGGGAAAGCATAAATGCTAATTTTTCCATAGAATTTCTTTTTTGAAAATGTAAGAGACATGCAAAAACTTCCAAAGCACTATGATGTCATAAAAATAAGTAACATTATATTATATTATATGAAAAAGCAGTATTTTGAACTCAGGTAATTTTAATTGAGTAACGTGCAGATCTTCGGACATTAAGTAGAACCTTGAAGAACTACATGAACAAACTCCAGTAAATTATTTCAAATTTTACAGTATTAAGAGAATATGTGGAAATATCAAGACCAGGAAAAGTCAGACATGAAAAGATATTTTTAAGTTTATGATTTATTTACACTACTGGCCACTTCCACAAAGCAACTGCTTTCTCAGTATTACCATCTACTAAAAATAAACCTGAGAAAAGTCAGGGGACATAAGACGGAGGGCATTCAGGGAAAAAATATACTTAAATAGGGAGCAATTCTTGTTGGGATATTCACATGCAACAAAATGATAAAAACATTTGCATTGCAAGTTCACAACAAGAATGCAGATCTCCAAGATGAGAAAGATAGGGAAAGGATACAAGTTTCAGAAGAAATAATGCCTCATTTCACACAAGCATGAGAAATGAGTATGATCCATTATTCTTACTGGTACCTATCAGATGAGAGTCATTACCAGCTTCAATTATACTAGCTGTGGTCTTGTGGAGGACTTCATCCCTTGGGGTATCTGTGGGATTCCTGATGCCTTCAGTGCCCTGTCCTGGTTCATTATCTGAAGGCAGAGGTGGTTGAGTTGGGTCTTTGTGGTGGGCACCATCAGGAGAGGCAACAGCTGTTATGATGGTTTAATAACAGATGACTTAAATATAGATTATTTAATTAGCTGTGAATTCCATCTGTGTGCTTCTGTGGCCTTCCCATTCCCATCTCATTCAAGTCTCCTTAAACCACTGTTACCCTTTTCTCAACACAAAAAGATAAGAGAAAGGAGACCTGTCCCGCACAGGTCTACCACTGCTCTGTCAAGGTTTTGATGAGACATTTTCATTTCCTCATCCACTTTTTTACTTAATAAAAAATATTCCCAAGGACAGTGGACACAGGGACATAGAGACAGCAGTCATGAGGATTCCCTGACCTGTGTCCCAGGCTGACTACACAGCTGCAACTTCCCGGACACTGCCATGTGCTGTTACAGCATATTTTACATTGCAGGTATCAATACTGACAGTAAAGAACCCTTTCTACAGTCACTGTAGAAAGTTACTCAAGACACTGTGAGTGGTGACAAGTTATAATTCATTGTTCTTACTAGTAGTAAGAGGGGTCTGCAAGCGATTAAGATGGTCTTCAGTGTCTGGAAGAATTGCAGGTATCCAACCGACATGGGAACCATCTGTGGTGTTTGCTTGTTCACTTTCCCTTCCAGGTGGAGTGCCAGGTGCCAGTGGCTCCTTGGTTGCTTTCTCTTGGTTAACATCCTCCACAGATTCTGTGACTGGCATGATGGTGCCATGATCAGCTTTAAAACGGAGCACTCACACAAAACCACCACCCATATTGTTTTCACATTGTATTTCCATATTGCACCACAGCAAGCCAGAAAGCACGTCCACCTTCCTCATTCAAAGCACAGAAGGAGGGAAGAAGACATGAAGGCCTCTCCTTCTTCTTCCACCCTGTCACTGGCTTCTGAGAGACCACGAAGCATCACATCTCTGCTCACCATGTTGGAGCAAGACATTGGCTACATGTACAGATACCAGTGACAGTCTTCAGAAGAAGAGACTGTATCATGTTTTTAGCACATTATTTTAATGTTATGAATAGTATGCTATATGAGATTGCATCATGATTTCGTGTCATGCCAGTTTTGTAAATTTTTTTCTCCCATCATTCTGTGAATCAGAGGGACAAATATTTTGATAAAATCTCTGAAAAGAACACTGTTTCCCCAGATGAATATTCACAAATAAATGCATTAACCTGTTGATATACAAATATACATAAGTATGAATTCAACTTTAAGATAAAGATAGTTTGGCAACACAAAGTAATATAACTTATGTAATGATCTGGATGCAATTTCACAGCCATGCTTCACCAAGGAATAGAAAGTACTGAAAGTGGTGTTGGCAAGGAAAGAACAAATGTTTTATGCAGAGCTAAAATAGAAAACTTTCGTCTCACCACCATCCAGATGGAGCACAGAGAAAACTAGTCATTCTACAACTTATGCTGTTATTTTAAGAGATTAGTAATTACCCATGTCTACAAGTTTATGCAGCATCTTTCCAGGACAGGCCATCTGAGAGACAGAAGTGATGCAGTACACGTAACTGACATTATTAGTAGTACCTGTAGTGGAAGAGTCTTTCTCATGATTATTCCCTCTGGAAGGAATAGTTCTATCCGTTATAGCAGGCCATGTTGCATATTCCTCTCCGTTGTCCCAACCTGGATATATCCATGGGTCTTGCATGGAGTCATTCTGTTTGGCCCCATGGGTGGAGACCATAGCTGTTATGATGATGATGAAGCAATTATGAACTCAGTATATAAAGATCCATTTCTCATATTATTCTCCTCTTCGGTTCTTGTCTCTATGACAGGCCTTGCTCACATGTTTACTACATTTAATGGCAAAGAGGAGTAAAGTAGATTTGCTTCTCATCCTGGTTTATGTTTAAAAAAGCTGACTACTCTCATCAGTAGGACCAACTCCTTCCTCAAACCAAACATATGCTTTTCAGAATCAAGGTATCTTATTGTTTTTCAAAAGTATTTCCCTGAATCTTGCTGTTGACATTGTTTTGGTTGAATATCAAACCAATATCCACTGACTCAGAACTAAGAACCTCAAAGGCAGAAACAAATGCAAGGATATGACCCATCAGTAAGATTTTAATCACAGAATTTGAGTGCATTGACTGGATCCAATTTTTCCCCCCTCGAAATTTCACTGTTTTATTAGTTGCAGCATCTCCAGGAAAACAGATGAGGAAGTATGACAGAGGGGAATGCTAGCACATGCTACACACCCTAGATAAGACAGCATTCAACTGGAGAATATTTGATATCGCAGTTATTTAGAAAAAACTTATCCATATCAATCAATCTGTAGTTTTTATTAGATAGTCATAGCAAAAGAGTACCTGAATCTTATAGGAAGCATAACCCTCCTTAGCCCCTTCAATACAATAAGAAATTTGCCACACTGTGTTACAATTTCAATTGCAACTAGGCTATTACATATTGCTATAGCAGTGTAGTATAATGTAGCGTAGTGTAGTACAGTGCAGTGTAGTCTGGTAAAGTATGGCACAGTACGGTGTTTACACATTTATCTCTATCTCATTTTGCATTGTACTGCATCACCAGATTTTTTAAGGATGGTAATGACATATCTGGGCTTGATATCTTACAGGAATGTGGACTTAGGCACTACTGAAACAGTGAACTACACAAAACTTTTGCTAATAAGATTAAATTTAGTTGAATGAATAGAAACAGCATCTAAATTGTGTTTGTGATATACTTCTCTTCAGAGATCTGTATTTAATAATTTGCAAGAGTAGATGACTGCTGGCAGCACATCTGTCATTAATTAGTAAGCTTGGTACACTCACAGGAACAGAAACTAATATATGCCAATTTTCAGTTACTAGCTTTAAGGTGTAATTTGGTCTTTTATGTTTCAATTGATGCAACGAATGGAAGAGAGAAGCCTCTTTCTTATTCTACGTTGTGCTTTGTTTTCTTCCCTTCATCACCAGTATCACACTGTCATAGTTCAAAAGTAAGGTGAGTAGACATTTTAGATAATTTTTTTTAGATATAATTGCCATATTAACAAAAACTGAAAAAAGAAATCCTGGGTCTGATAATGACTTGCAACAGAGGAGTGAACACAAGTCCCAGTCAATGAAATATACAACAGACATTATTAAACCTTCTCTGTTTCCTACAGATAAAACCCTGGTAGACAGTTTGTTAAAAGCTTGTGACTGCATGAGACACAACACAAAATGTAGGAGGCAGTTACAGAAGGTTACAATACTAAAGGTCTTGACCTGCAAGTCAAATAGAAGAGAAAAAACCACCCAGGGACAGGTCTGAAGAATAATTAAAAATTAAACCGATTTTTTAATAATTAAAAATAATATAACATCAGAATTGCTCAGAGGTATTCACAGAATCTGTCCTATGGCCTCAGAATGCAAAAATATTAGTAAAAAAAAATCCTAAAAGTAAACCTTTAGAAAGACTTGGTAATTTACTAAAATGTGACCTGTAATATTACCTGTATGAGAAGATTCCTTTTCAAAATAATTTTCACCTGCAACAGTAAATTCATGTTGTTCAATACTCGCCGTGGTATTTGCAGGATTTTGTTCTTGACTGATCCCTCCAGAATGAATGGTGTATGATAGTGGATGTTGGGTTGGTCCTTGATTTTCATTTTCACTTGTAACTAGTGCTGATAAGATGATGATTGAATCAATAATGATCAAAATACCCATCATCAGTCATATTCTCATATCATGGTTTAATAACAAAGACACCTGGCTTTTGTGTTTTGGTTTTTTCTTGTTGTTGCATTTGATGTGAAATGAAAGATGAAAGAAAAAGTAGTCCTCTGGAAACCTTATGACACAAAACCATCACCAGGATCAGAAGAAGATTTAAGTGGGCTAGAAAGGATCCCAATGACCAATGGAAGAGAAAAGATATTGGAGACGCAGAAGAAGAGCACATAGAAACAACAGCTTACACATCTATTTCATATTCGTTAATACTAACTTAACTGTTGAGTCTGTGTATTCTGCGTTTTTACAGTGAAAAAGTGGATGAACTTTCTCTTTTGAGTTAATATCTCAATTACACAATTACAAAGCTGGCCCCAAGGAAATTGTAATTTCTTCTGAGACTGGAAAGATGAAATAAGTAGGTTCATATATTCGAAGTTGATAAGCATACTTATTTTGAACTCAATAATAATTAAAGCTCTTAGTCTTTAATTTGCTCTTGCTTACACAGCACAAGATGCAGTCAGAAAGAAGTTGAAGTACCACCACCATAAGAGGTTTTCTATTGAGTATCGGCAGGTTTGGAAAAGATACATCAGAAAAACCTAAGATGAGCACTAGAACTCAGGTAGAAAGATATTTGCCTTAGGTATCAAAAATTTCCATGAGTGATATATTAAAAGTAAAGCAAAGGTCATTAATCAGAGCATGCAAAGAATGAGCTGGACTTGTTATATATGCTAAGAAACCAGCTAGAGAAACCTATGCTACTTCCCAATATGGGAAAAACTGGATAAATATTTATTTTCACATTCAGGCAATGAAATATTCATATAGAGAGCACTCATGAAAATGTAATCCATTCTTTTTAAATTAAACCTAATACATCTTTATCATCTTATAAAAAGAGTTAATATTAACTAATGTATGAATACAACTGATCTAAAAATACGCCACAAATAAAAGAAAGTTACCACAAAAATTTTTTCTGGGTGATTACAGGTCTTGTTCTAATGACAATTGTATAAACCTTCGCTGTTCAAAACAAGCTCAGGACCAGAAAGGCACAGCAAAAATAGCTTGAGAATGAGCTCTGTGAGCCTTTGCCTACAGAAGCTTCTAGCCTTGAATGCTTCGGTATCTCAGTAGGCTACTGGCACTAGCACTGGTAGCAAAATGTTCACATTCTTCTGGAGGATGATTTTTGTAGGAAAATTTCATGATTTTGAAACACTAGCTCCCTGTTTTGTCTTTTGTCTTCAGATTTTCAAATTGAAAATTTTGAAATGGAAAAAGGGATTTTTTTTTCCTCACTGAGGTTGGTCACTAAAAGTTACAGTCTACTCAGTTCTATTTTGCTACTGGTAGTGCAAATATAAAAATACCAGAAATGTGAGGAAAAGTGGCAATTAACTAACTTTAGATGCAAAAGATAGACTTGGAACAACAGATAGATGCCACCTATGAGGGCTGTAGTACAAATAATGTAAAGGCATTACACTGAACTGAGGCTAATGGTATGGGAATTACGAACAGCTGCACCATGAGTGTTACATTTACGTCACAAATCTGAATATTATCTGAAATGCTTGATTCCTTTACCCCTGGTAGGAGAGCTAGGATACTGCTCCTCTTCATCTGTGAAGGTGGGATTCCAATGATCTTGTGTGGAGATTTCCAGAAGCGTTTCGTGTTGTGAGTCCACAGCTGTTGGGACAATGGAGGATTGAACGCTGACTATGCTCTAAGTCTACCACTGTTCATGTGTGCCATAAAGGTGATGGAAAATGGAAATTCATGTATATCCTAACTACAGCCTCTCTACTCTTTCTTTGCATTGGATTGACGCAAATTTTCCCAAGAAGAATGGGGAAAACAAGCAATAGAAGAGTAATGTATAGCAGAAGTAATGCAAAACCATTACAGCAGTTATAGACATTTAAACTCATGTTTGAAGAATAATGCTGGACCTAAGGAACATGGTAGATATCTCAATACATGTAAAACATGCTTGCTAAGTACCCAAGAAGTACTCAAAAAGTAGCATGCTAGAATATCCAGCACTGAGTTCAAAAGCGATGAACGGTAAAAAACTGATAGTGCCTTGAGAACCAGCAGGTCACCAATATTAGTGAAGAAAGTTATAATACAATTAAAAAGATAAAATAAAACTTCCACAAGAGTCTATGATCAGAGATTGTATACACTTTCACCCATGCAGCATGCAGACACTGCTAGGTCATAGAAAGTATTTGGAATGCAATACACCAGTGGAATAAGTCACCAGTGCAGAGTCTCAAAGATAAATAAATTAACAGCAGAAATACCCAAAACACAGGCAAAAGAATAAAATGCCCCAAAGCAAGATGATTTGATGATTTTTGTAATTTCTTCTAAAAGCAAAGACCACTGCTGAAAAAATGCAAATACTGAACTATCTCCAGAAAAATCAAATGCTTATAAACAGTGATTTATAAACACTGTTGAGTAAACAGGAGCACAAACAACAGATACATTAAGATGTACTTAAATTAAATAAAATTACAGAAATAGAACAGAATTATCTTTGTACAAAAAAGAGCATTAGAGTATAGTCATTAATGGCAACTTCTATGCTAAATCCCCACCCCGGTCTTTAAGTCAAGTACCAGAGTGTGTGACACGCAGCATTTGGCTCTGATCTTCACATGTGGTGGTTTTCTGGTTTTCAGAAAAAAATTATTTCAGGTATGGATGGCTTTTGAATTTAAAAAGAGTTATCAGATGATGACTGTGGGACTATTCCTATCAGGAAAATAAAGCTATGTATTAAAATACCTCAATTATCATGTTGGATCATGCCTAGACATCTGAGGTCACAAAATAAATGAGGTGATGTTAGAGGACTGCATGGGAAGAGTGTAGAAGGGAGCAAATATGAGACTGTTTTGTTGACAATTCCCAATGAAAAAGGCACTTAGGCTTTGGCCTCCTCAAATTATGCCTGAACATCTCCTTCCACAGACAGGAAGTCTGGTATTAAATAGTTGTAGATCATATATAACATGAACTAGAATTATTTTAACACTTAAAAAAAAATCATAGAAAGAAAGATAAGCTTTTTTTTCATCTTGGAAAATCATGAGTGAATGAAAACATTTGAATAGGTGGTAATTTTAAGTAATGATAGAAGAGATATTACTTTTATCAATATGGAGCTCAATTTTTCCAATCGCAAAAGAGATATTTCTGAAGGAGCAGATGATGAGGAGATCATCCAATTTTCACATAATATGTGTGTGGCAAAGGAGGAGGAACATCAAGTGTGAAAGGAAAAAGAAGAAGGAAACCATCCAAAGAGAAAGCAAGTTCCTTACTCGTACTTGGAGAACTCTTGTCCTTGGCCACGCTCCTGCCCCAGCTGGGAAACAGTGTTGGGTACGTCATTTCCTCTGAAGAGTCTTCATCATCTGAACCATTGCCACTGGAGGTCACATCTGCTGTGATGATGTTAAATCTGCCATGAAGCCCTAAATCACAAAGCCTTCTGCTGGCAGCAGTTAGGCTTTCTTGCCTCCCCTACATGCAGCCTTACAATTACAGAGGAGAATATACAGAACTGTGCTTCTCATGGTCCATATCTCCTCCTGGCCTTTTCACTCAGAAGGGATGCACCACTTTGCCACAGCACTGCTGAAGCTCCCCAGTGTGGTACCCTTTGCACATTCACAGCATTAATCATGCTCTGTCCTCTTCAGCCTCTAATCAAAATGCCCTCTTAGCATGACATTCTTTACCCTTGGTTGCCTGTGTGGCTTCTTGTGTCTTCTCTCCAGGATTTGACCACCACCAGCGGGCTGGAAACAGATTCCACCAAGCTTGGGTGGTGGCTTTCTCTAGGTTGTCATGATGAGGCCCTGGAGCTGTTAGGACATGGCCCATTTAACCAAGATCTTGTTATTATTTCTTGAGAAGCACTTTTCCTCCAGGAAAGTCAAGTCCACTAGCACCAGCACCCTGAGCACCCTCATGCCACAGAGATGGATGTGAGTGCAAGGCGAATGTATGAATCCATGGTATCATTACATTCCTCAAACACATCGCTCGACAAGCGCTTCTGGCAGTCCCAGGAAAGAACACAGTTCCTTGAGAGGAGACATCAAAAAGCCCTGTGGGTTTTCTTTAGCCCTTCACATGCTATAAAGTTAATGAGCTCCTCACAGGCTTTGACAGCAGGAGAGAGTAGATAGCCTTAGGCTCCAGAACGAGGAACATCCACCAAGATGACATAAAATCACATACAAAAGGTGAAAGAAGTATCCATGTCAGGCAAAAAGGTGACCCACAGACAAGCACATCCAGAGAAGCAAACTGCTCTGCTACTGAGAACCCCAAGAAGCCAATGCTGTCAGAGACCTGGGCTCAGAACTGCCGCTATTGAGTCCACTCAAAGGACACATGCACTCCCCTTAGCCTGATGCTGTCAGCTAAATCCACACCAGAAATGCTTTTCAGAGTAGGCGTCAGCATAGCGTGAACAGAGAGATATGCAGCTTTATTCCTATCACATGACCAATGCACAATATTTTCTCAGATCAGAGCATATCAAATAGTCAATTCCAGAGGTTTGTGACAGGCATTTACAGATGGAAAGAGATTTCTCGTTAGAAAAATCAGAGGAATCCACAGTGTTTTCATCCACTGTGCTAGGCAAGCCAAATGGGTATTGGTGTGCAAATAGAAATAAAAGTGTCTATTACACATGGATGAACAAAATCAATCACAGTTATTGTTTGAGTAGGTTGCTCTGATAACTTAGAAGGGTATTTCATTGATCAGTAACAGAATTTTACATCTGATTCCTGGCACACCTTCAGATGAATCATAATTTGTTAGTAACAAAGAAACTTTTTTCATCCAGGAGAGGAAGTTGATGGCAAAGTGCTGAGAGTGTATTAATCTGGATCATTAACTTGATGGGAGAACATCACCAACAGTGTCTAAATCCAGAGAAATACCAAAAGGGTATTCTCTGAAGAACAAAGAGCTGTGAATATTGTTCATTTCAAACCCATAGCAAAGAAGTCTTTAGATTAAGTCAGATACCTTTTCACAAAACTTTAACTTTACAAATGGTGTGTAATATAGATTGAGAGACACCAGTTTTGTTTCTCATTTTAAAACACTATAGAATTAGATAGATATATTTTTAGCCATCTGTCAGAAGATATATGACAAATAGTATTCTTTACTTATTTCTTAATTTTCTACTTTCCTGTCTGTGGGATTTTTCCCTGGGAAATTAAACTGGATACTCCAATGAGCCTGCACTGCTGTGGAACCTAAATAGCGGATATTGGGGTGCAGCTTCATCTTCTTTTTTTGATTGTTCTCCATGTAACTTCCTCCTACACTACTGAATTTTTGATTACTTCTCAAAGAGATGCACAGCTTATACTTAACTTCTTTCTGAAAGGACCGCTAACTTATTGATTCATTTGTAATGCAGTAAAATTAAAATAACTGAGTCTCTTTGGCTTTAAAGTGGTGATGCTGATGTTGCTAAATCTATCAGAAAAGCCCAGGTGCATTGCTTTCATAATTTTTTCTCCCAGAGAACCAATCTATCAATCCTAAACCAGTAAACAATCATACCAATGCTATCAGTTCTGTCATACACATATATCAGTATTGACATATTTTATTACATTGCTTTGTAGTTATTTTGATCTTTTAAAATCTTAAATACCTCTAGTTTTCCCTCTGTAAAATAGTCCTGCCCATGAGAGAGAACTGTTAGCAACAGGAAGGGACATATATATCTAGAATCAATACATTTGATAATCAAGTAGTAAAACGAAAACAGACAGCTTTCCTGCCTGGAAAAAATGCACAGGATTTTGCAGTGCGTACAGAAACACCTGTACGAGGAAACACCAAGTCACACATGCATACAAAAACAAATACATATGAAGGTGGAATTTCCTCCACACTTCTCCCCCTTACGGGCAATATTTTGTAATAAAAGCTCTTGCTTGAAACAAGCACCAGAAAATTTTCTACTTTCTTTCAAGGTCTGGGGTAAAATCAACCTAATATTTCTTTTCCTATCTACATATTTATAAGCTATTACTAACCTTCACATCCTCTGAGACAAGATGCTTGGTTTTAGTGATTTATGTCTTCTAGCAAGGCTTTTGCTAACTGTGTAAAACAAACGATCATTCTTACTCTAAATACAGTGACAAGGGTACCACCCTTCCAAATCACATAGACCATTTGACCACCTATCAGCAACCAACAGACAATCAAGCAAGTTCCTCACTTTCATGAATTTCCTTGGTGGGGGAAAAAAAAAAGAGCCAGTAGGAAGAAACTTTCATGTCTATCAGTTCAATCTTTACTACAATATGCCTCTGTAGATTTCCTGTGTGTAATTAAAATGTTCTCCCTTTAGGTTCACTTTATTTTCTGGGGCAAAGATCTTTATCACTCTAAACTTAAGAACTAATGTGAACATATGTACGTTACTTCCATTTTAACATGTGTAAGATGACTTCAAAAGCTTTTTATTTGTTGTAGCTGCTGTGCATTACATATTTGATAAAAACATCACAAGCAGTTTTTCTGACTCAATAAAGCCATTTAAGGACAAAGCTGAGAAAAATGGCTAGTGTTTTTTGATTCCTCAGAGCCTGTGGAGCCCAAATTTTCTCTCATGCATACTGCCAACAACAAGGGTGAAATTAATTTTTGCAGTGCACAAATGGCTTGGCAATTGGAACCATATAAAGGATTGCTTTGGTTAGCGAGGCCATGTTTTTGACGCAGATTACACACATTCACAACCATAAATATATTAGAATAACAGAGACTTTTATCCCAAATTGACAAAAACGTCCTTTTCTACCTCAGACATAAATTGACTTCAAGTAATAATTGGTTGTACTAATTTGTGGTGCCTCAGAGAGCAAACAGGTGTGATAAAACAGCAGTGGAAAATATAAGCCAACAACCTCTCTGAGCTCATGTATAAGCATTGAATTAAACACACTGTAAATGATTTTGTTCCCACTGTCCCAGAGAGTGAAATTCATTTCTGACTTAACCAGTTTGGAAAGTAGTGTCTTTCAATGTCTTTCCAATATTTGAAATGTTGTATACCTCACCACTTACCAGAATGCCCTTCTGGAAGAACAAAGCAGTTTTAATGCAATCTATATTTAATGTAGTTGTTATGAAATGTAAATCTTACTAGTAGTAGCATGATAATGTCCACCATCTTCTTCATGGAAATCATCAGCCACTGTCCCGAAAGAGATGTCAGGTGATAGAGATGGAACTTCATCATCTGTATGGTGATGGATAAATCATTACTATTTCATTAGCTGAGTTAGCTGAGTTGCAATACAGTATTTAGGAGTACTTCAGTTACTCTATACTGCAAGCTTCATTCCTTTATTTATTGGTCCAAGAGAGGAGAAAGATACAGACTAGATTCCTCTCATAATTCAACCCTGCATAACCTTACTTTACTAACATAGTAAGGATATCACCTTACAGATTATTTCAAGAGGAGTATATATTACAGTGATAATGAATATTCTGGCAATGATCTGTTCACGTGATACAAGATTTAAATGCTACCTGTATACCATGTGGACAGGGATTCTAGAGCAGTGAATGAAGCTATTTGTATTCCCCTCTACTGAGATATATTCTGAGATTTAGTCCAAAAATTTATACTCTGCATGCAAGCAGAGTTGATAACAGCTGTAATGGCAATCAGTTAAAATACACAGCATACACCTCAGGGAATGGTTCTGATCCTAGTTCCTTAGGGAAAAAAATGTTAGGATTTACCATTCAGGATGCTAACTATATGGAAAAACAAGCATAATATATCATGAGTATACCACAAGTGAAGAGTAATTTTATAATCCTAATGCTTCTGCTCTTTTTTTTTATTTTTAATTTCAGTATATACTGAGGATAGTGACGCAAAACATTGTTATCCTTCACTGGTAAGTTACGGGTGATTTGATAAATAGCCTGTAGTCACACAGTAAACTTTACTGTCCTTAGAGGATGACTTATATTTGTATCCCTTAGGTTCAATTGGAGCTAGTCTTTCAGACTTCAGATAATTTCATCCACACAAGAAACATAAAAGATGAAATAAAATATATAGAAAAGAAGATGGTGTTTCTATTTGGTAGGGTTTCATGAAATTTGAATTTGGCTTTACTACCTAAAAGAAGTTATTAATAACATTTTAATTTGACATATCTATCTCCCTAAGCATTCTCTAATATGCCGTAGTAAGATGATGTCCTGAAAAATCTCCTGTATTTATACAAAGAGAAATCTTTTCTATTGTAATCTCCTCCTCATTCTTATTATTTAATGTCATTTCATTTAGAAAACAGATAAGAATGTTATCCTTATCTCTACATATGCTTCATACTCACATGCAATCAAAAAAATGCTTAGAAATTTAAAATGCCTCAGTTTTCTTTCAAAGAGACACATTCTCTGTTTTTTTTCTCCTGAATACAAATTAGAGATGGTACTTTTCAATCCCTCATTATATCCTTTAACTATCAATGTAATCTTTCACTCACTTATATTAAAGTGCAACCTACTGTCCTTACCATAGTCTTTTCCAGGAGTTCCTTTTTCACCCCCTCCAGAAGTGTGATCTGGCAGCTGTGAGACTGGAGTAGCACCTCCATAATATGAGGGGCTGGATCTCCTGATGGAGGTATCCACGGGAGTTGTCTCATGAGTTGATCCACTACCTACATTTTCATCGTCTGCACCTGAAGTTGAGGACTCTCCACCGGTATGACGTGTGCCATCTGCATTATAACGTGAGCCATCTGCATTGTCAATGACTGTGGAAAGAGGGAATTAAGCAGCTAATATCAAGGAGCTACATAGCTAAATTTCAGTAATGCTAAACAGTTTTAGTTCTACAACAAAAAAAAAAAAAGAGAAACACTTGTGAATTAATACCAGTTCATCCATTTTTGCCATCCTACCTAACCTGTCTAGATAATACTTCACTAAAACATGTCTAATGTATATATGCTAGTTTACATATTTCTCAAATATGTAGGGCCTACCCTGCAGCACTTATTTCCATCAAACATTTTGGTTTTAACATAAAATCTCAGCATTTGTAAAGTCAATCAGAATTTCAGAATTGCAACAAATAATTTATTATGAGCATTTTCTTCCACTTCCAGCTGCTTTTCTAACAAACAGCTCAAATGAGATGTAGAAAGGTTGTTGTCCTAAGCCAAGTCTTGTGTGTCAAAGAGATATTATCCACTCTGAGATGCTAAAAATGTCAAATACCTATATAAAAAAGTGTTTGGTAGCACCCTGAAACAAACAAAGTTCCATAAGATTAAGGGAAAAAGAAGTGACCAACTGTTTTAATTTCTGTTGAATGTCTCTTAACTTCTTTTTCTTATGTTTGGCTTAATTTTTTCAATATCAGTAATTGTTTATATAAAAAAAACATAACCAGATACTAAAAACTGAGAAAGTGCATGTCTTTCTAATCAGTACAGTACCTATTTCATCTTGATTACTGAGGAGAGAAGTATCTAGTTTTTCAACTGGCCCACACTCTATGTCCCTTGTTTCTGTGAAAGAAGGAAAATAGAAAGTATTAATTTGAGAAAATGAATATAAAAGTCACATGTATACCCATATTAATGGCATGTAATCACTAAACATCAGCTTCAGATGAGGACAGTTGGAAACAAATTTCCAAAAAAATTTTATTCACTGATGTACCTACTTTCCCTTTTTTCTCCTTCTGAGGTGGAACACCACAATACTGTTAGTTCTGTCAGCTAACAATTAGATTCTCCATTTCCATAGCCATTCCAGAAAACAGTTGCAGTCAATGTCAGTTAAAACAGCCTTATGACCCAGTTTCAATGCAGGTAGCCCCATTGTCATGATAGAAGTGGCAACCCTAGCCCTCTCTAACTGGAGAGACTGTCCTCTCCATGGAGGGCTCTGCACAGGCAAAGCTTGCCCTGGTCTGGTGAGCACTGCTTCCTCCAGTGGGCTGAAGTGCCACATTTGGGGCCAGTTTGTAAGCTACCTGATCATACTGGTGGAAGGGAATAATACTTGGGAGGAGTTATAAACCTCTGAGGGCAACGGACATCACTGTAGCAGCAGGATAGTCATTTGTGAGTATCAGAGGATGGCAGTTCACATACTATGCCAATACTAAGAATGACATCAGGAAATGTCACTACCACCTAAATCATGAATGATTTTTTCCTGCAGCTTTCTGTAACAACTGTCTGTGAATGTCACAATCTACTGAAACTAAAGCCACTTGAAGTTAGTCCAGATTTCATCTTAAAATATTGTGTTCAGCATCTGTCACAGACTACCCACATTTTCCTAATCATTTAATAAAATATTTCTATCTACTAAAAAGTTCAAAACCTTAGACGAAAGTGGTCTGCTTCTGAGTGGTCTGCTTCTGACCCACGTTGCTGTCTAGCTGCCTAATGTCTGAATGGAGATTTGCCTAAGCAAATACTGAATGAACCTACAAACAGGAGAGCAGCAGCTGTGTCCACGGGCCTGGGATGGCCCTCACTGCTGCAGGTGGCAGCCACTCCTAGTATTCCTGAACACAAGTAACTGCTTTTGGCTATAGAAGCTCATGTGCGCATGAACAGAAGAGCTGAATGCCAGCACTGACAACACTTGTGTCTTTCAGATTTACTGCTGCGGTTGTTCACTTCACTAAGCCATTATAATGAACTGTTCTGAAGCTACTAAGTTACTCCCAAAGGCAGAAAAAAAGTTTAGGTCAAAACACACTAATAACAAAATGGATCAAATTCATTGCTGGCATGATAGTTACACTTCTAGAGTTTGAAAAAACGTATTTCTCCTCAGCTGAAAAAGAGATTATGTTTATTATAGAAACCTTCAGTTAATCTATTTCTAAAATACATCATAAAATCACATACATACCTGTCTCATTGTAACAATATGCATCATACCGACCAGTTGTATTTGCTGGAAGCTTGTAAATGCCAGTATGGTTTGCTGCACAAAGATGATACGGTCTGATTCGTGGGATAACAATATGCCCTACTACAAAACCATACCTGTGAAGGACAGAGGTAAATAAACCATATTACTTACTATAACAGATGGCACCTCAAACATGAAGAAGCTACAAAGAAGCCATAATTTTTTTAAAGTGTATGCCTTTATGCATACTTTTTTGTTCCTTTTTCATTCAGGTGTTCCATCAGTCTCCAAGCACTCAACACTGTTTCGTAAGTAATTCCTAGAATTTAACCCATTTTAGCTAAATAAGCATCTTATTTGCTAGAGCAATTGATTCCAGAGCAAGGCAGTGAAAGTGAGGGAAGCAAGTGCACTTTTTGTTCAGTGGGAGGTTGTATTACCTGACACTAAAGACTGGATTGTTTCTCCTTTAGGGATTCACATTTTTGTTGCTTTGACATAACATAATGCTCAGTGACATTCCACACAGAAATGAAATGTTGGGGGCTCAATTTATGGTACCTGAGCAAACTTAAAGAATGACTGTAACACATATAATTTTCTGCAAAAACTGACAGCTTAGTAAAATATTCAAATACAGCAGTCATTCATTCACAAATTCTGACTCTATCTTTCAGTTGAACAATGTGGTTGTTGTGTACAGAGCTCACATATTTTAGTGAAGACTGTAGTTACACTAGGTACAATACATTATTACTATTTTGCAATCCTGTAACAATTGATTCCAATGTATTTAACTGGGATATGTGATAGAATTGTAATAAGAACTGGGGTTTGATTTGGGTTTTGTTTCACTTCTTGAGAGGTACGATTTGTCACGGAGGAGTAAATGTCATAGCTTTGCAGTTTTTTATCTATGAACATCATTCCAGTTACACGTCTAATGTGCAGATACTTGTAGTTCTGAAAGTCTCTTGTAGGTGGAATTATAAATTACTTTACTCACACTCCCAACTGACACCTTATTATTGACCTATTTGTGTTATGTTCTGTTGATTCATCTTATTCACTCACCATCTTATTCATTCACATTTGACATGTATTTTGATGATTATATACAGTATATTTTTCCTGTCCTACTCAAGCTTAATAAGAGCTAAGGCTTACTGACAAGGACCTCTAGCACAGGATCGATAAATGAAAGTAAGAGGGAGGGTTGACCAGGAGGAAGGAATCCTATCTGTATGCCTTACAATCAAAATCTGTCCTCTGGTAAACTCTGAATTAGGGAAAATTGTAAAATTAAAAAAAACTACAGCTCCCCACTGAAAGAAAAATAATCCATCTTCTTTCAATTAGCTTTATGTTTTAACTTCAGAAAAAACTTTCCATGTTGCAGAATACTCATAATTGCTAGCACTAGAAATCTCTACCCCTAGGCATTAGTTAGGATTTGATCTCTACATATTATGTGGTGCTGGGCAATTCAGACTGCTATGTATGTTCATCTGCCAATGTCAGAAAAAAAAAAACATGCTTACTATGTTATGAAGGATTTTTCCCTCAGAGTAAAAAACTGTTTCTAGTCTTTGTGTGGTACAATTTTAAATTATGCCCACTTCTCTCAGAAGAATCCAGTAAGAATTCTCTGTCCACTGTTCCCTGACAATTTTGTCCACATCTTTCACCATCATAATACTTGTGAAAATGAACATCACATGCTGTCATCAAAAGCAGTGCATGACACTTTTATGTATAAGAAAGTTTTCAAAGCACTGTGCATAGTAAGTTTATAATGTATTTTTTAATGCAAGATCAAGTGTTCATATAGTCAGATGTATTTACAGACCACAGGACTGTATTGACTCAATTAGTGCTTGAACAGAGGGCATCCTTAGGGAAAATATTTCATCTTGATGACATTTTTGTTACAGATTTTGCTGTATTACATCATTACTTATAGAGGGTAATTAAGTCACTTGACAAACTGGTTTTGGGTTTTTTAACAATTACTATGTCTATCTTTTGAAACTTCTCCATTCACAGATTATAAGGATGCACTGATACTCTGGCCATTTTTTCATTGGGATGCCAAGAGTTCATCCCTCATGGTGCCACTTGCTGCTTTTTACTGTTCCTTGACAAGAAACAGTACAGAGTTTTGTATACCATATATACCATCTTCAGTCTTTGACCTTACATTAGGTCCTTATTTTAACATACTTATCTTACTCATTACTCAGTGATACAGTATGATCTGAACATCCTCCTGATTAGTTTATTATACTGTCAATGTTTTGTTACCTTTAGATTTTATCTGTGAGAGGTTATGATTTTTTAAAAGATAAGTGATAAAAACTATATGCATCAAGGACTTATTTATCACTGGACCCAGAACAAACATACACATGTGCAAAGATGTTTTGTTCATTACACAATATAACTTATTTAACTGCTATGACCATCTTAACAGCTATAGGAAGTCAAATGTAACTATTACACTATAGCATGGATGGATTGACTTGTCATGGTATCTTATTTTTTCAAGAATTTCTTTACCTGCAAGTTTCAAATCCAAGTTCATGAGCTTTCTTCAGCTGTTCTAGTGTTGCCAAGGTACTATTGAGAGCTCTGCAGAGTTTGACTGCTTCAGGTCGTGTGAGACTGTAGCGACCATTTTTCTCAACATGAAAAACTCCTCCATATCTGCAGCTTACATTGAATTCTGTTATCAAAGAAAAAGAAAAAAAAAGGTGTTACAAATTGTTAGACCTAATGCTTCACTGAAGACATGGAAATTGTTTATTTTCAAGTATAGTATTCTCAATGTAAACCACCAGGAAGTAGCAGCTAACAATTCATTCAGAAAAAGCACTACCACTGTCAATCATGTTCTTCATACTTCCCCTCTTTGCACTGAGGCACAATCCAAATCTTCAGCCTTTCCAAAAATAGCAATACAACATGTTTTTGTGAGATATCTAGCACTTTTAACATTCCATTAACAATAATGTGCAGATGATACACTTTGTGAAACCTTGGAAGCCACACTGCTGCAAAACTAGGTGAATAGTCAGATGTACTTGAAAATAAAATATTTCATTCATAACAGGTTTTTTAAAAGATGAAATGGGGTATAATAAGAGTTTTTGTGATCATTAAGTTCTTTAATTATCTTATTGCGATCCCTTTACAGTGTATGAATTTATATGTCAATTCCCAGTTTCAGAACCAGTTCAAACAACATGTTCCTATTACGCGCTAGACAAAAGTAGAAAGTGGTTTGATTTTCATGATCTCCTTGAGATAAGAACTATTCATGGTCTACCTGAGACAAAAACTAAGTAAGTCTGAACTAGAACAACATTATGTTGTTAAATACTTCCTGAAAGATAATCTTTAAACTCTTCATATTCAGCCTGCTGGGGCAGATAAAGTGTCAAATACACTCTATATAAGAGTTCACATGAATTAATTTCTTGCCACCTGTTCATTCATCTGACAATATTTCCCTCCATTTTGAAAGGCTTCTTCTTGCTGAGTTCATGCTCTCTCACAAACATCTTACTGCCAACTCATGTCAGAGTTTCAATATGTACTGCAGTGTTCGTTTAATGTTAAAGGTTATCTTGGATGGATTTTAACCTAATAATACCATAAAGGCTTGCACATGGAAGCAAATTTCAATGGCAAAATGTACGAGGATAAAATTTAAAAAAATAGTTTATACAGTTACATACAATTCATTTTCTGGCCACAAGCCTGGCAAACCTGAACAAGCAGTATTTGCAAAGCCTGAGTGAGGGGAGCACCTCATCCAAATTATTAGAGACACTGAATGAAAGGCATAAGGGCTAGAGGCTCTGAGGAGATCATCCTCCATTCATCTTTTTGTTGGAAAAATACTGCCTGCATAATGCAACAAGTAAAGTGGGGAAATGGCATAATCCAGGGAAAGTCTGTGACTGATAAAATGAGAGAAAAAATAAATATTAGCTGTCATCTTTTTTAACAGAAGCAGCTAAAAACCAGTTAATAATAATAATATTACCAATAATAATAACAGTACGAATAAGAACAATCATGCGCATGGAGAAAAATCAGGGAAGAACAGGACACTTCCAAGCAATGTGAATTGACTTTGCTTTTGCCCCACTTTTCCCTCTAGAGAAAAAAAGCAATTGCAACTCCAGACTAGAACAACAACAGCAAAGCACACTTAATAGGAGTAACCTATTATTCCCAGTGAAAAGAGGAGCATGACTCATTTTTATCTTATTTTTAGTGGAAGTTCCATGTGCAAGAAAGGGAAAAATAGACTAGTCTCCTCCAAATATCAAAAGGGTGTGTTTGTACCATCTATTTGAAAAAAAAAAAAAAGACATATAATAACTGCTTTTCTGAAGGACCTGAAATGCAATTCATACCCATTTCCATTGACACATACTATGTGAACAAGTAACTTTCCTAATGTTATTCTTGCTTGACAGTCTATTTTCTTCTATAGTATAGCTGTGAAAGCAAATGACAGTAAATAAGGCATGCACTCTTTCTTCAATTACTTTTGTTCATTGGCAAACTGACGTTATTCTATGTACAGTGTATCTACTAAATGTAAACTGCACGGAACATTCCTTTACGTAGCTCACAGGAAACAATCAAGGAGATAAAACCCCAGATTAAACCCAGACTGTATGATGTATGAGAATACAATCATTATTCATAGCTTGGGTAGAGTCCAATAGTATTGGTGTTTGCTTGACCAAAGGAGCTCAAAAGCTGTGCATCCAATCTTGAATACTTTTACCATAGGCAACAAAATTAACCATTGTGGTTACTTGGATTGCCTTTCCCCAAAAAGAATGTACAAAGTATCTCTGCTCCCTCCCCCCCCCCTCCCCCCCTTCAGTATTTTGGCTGAAGAAAAAAATTTCAATTTAGACAAAATCAATATACATTGCAGAGCTGTTTAACAGCCTTGCTGATTACAATTGTTAGTGTTTGTATTATCATACGCTATTAAAAAAATCAAGAACACATAATTTTTAGCTTTGTAAAATTTATGCAGGACTAACATTCTCTCAAAATGCCTTTTTGTTTGACATAGTTGTTTTCTTCTTCCAGGGAAAAATAGTTCTGCAGAAATTTCTCTGATGACAGACATGTCATAAGAGGTTTTGAAGGCAAGAATGAGGAACCTGTTTGGTAGAGGACACTAAAAAATACATTTCTCTTTCCTGGGGGACTTAATGTCCTGCAACAGGGGTTAGTTTCAGCAAGTTCCCACACGTGATTCTGAAATTGTGACAGTGCTCCCCACAAGTGCCAGATGCAGATGTGCACAGCACTGGTCCTGGGAATAGTTGATGGACTTGAGACCTTCTGTGGCCACACTCCTGACTGAACACCACCACATGCTGAAAAGTCATCACCACATATGCACAGTGTCACAGGTGTAGTCAACAAACCACAGGATGCAGATCCCAATAGATATTTCCTTATAACAGCACAACGAATAGCTGCTCTGCACAGAAGGATGTGGCCCTTCTGCCACTCCTTGGCTACTCCTATGGGATGGAGCTGCTCTTGCAGCTGCCATACAAGTGACTTCTACTTTTGCTACAAATGTTTCATGTTCAAAGACCGACATTATCTTGGTATTTGTCCAGTCAGTAGCTGTATTAAACATAAATGACCTAGACAAGAAAAAGGCTTCTCTTTGGTTTTTCCCTCCTGATTCTCTCTTCCCTGTAGAATAAAACAGGCCGAAATTTGTTAATAATGAAACATTCTGTGAAGTCCAAGACTTAATATTATATTTGGGGTCAGATCACAAAGTTTTGTTTGATTACTTAAAAGTAACAGGCTCAGTGTTCTTGGAGATAGATTTGCTTGAAACATCAACACCTTTTCTGATAACTTTAGGCTAATTTCTGAAGAACTGTGAAAGCAGATACCACATGCATTGGGTGGCATTTGATACCAGTTAATCCTATAGTCACTGAATCACAAAGTGAAGTTCACTTTTGTTTAGAGTGAGTTCATTTAACTGTCATCAAACCTCAGCCCATTCATAGTTTTAAACACAACAATATATGCTCCATTAACACCCAGCTACTCAGTAATAGTCAGAATTCCACCGAGAGTCAATTCCTTAGACATCAAGAGTTTAAAAAATTAGGCTTATTTACACAAATAGGCTTAATGGAACTACTTGTAGGCTACATGCCTATGCATGTGTACATTTTTCATGGAAATGCTTAGCCTGGGTCTACAGTGCACATACTGCACACCAGGACACTTCTGGGAAGTATCAGGCTTATTGCACATGTGCTGCCCAATTGCACTGCATGCCCACACAGGAGGGCCAAAGCTCTCAGGAAGCCTTGCTCATGCAGCAAGAGATATCACGTGGGTGTCCAGGAAACCCCAGGCAAAAATGTGGCAATCCAATTCTCAAAACTGGGTTTAAGGCCATCCAATTCCTTGGCAATGTGCCCTAAAGTAATGCTGAGACAGCATGTTTGTTTTCACTTTGATGATATCTTCTACGCCTACTATTAAAAATGTACCATTGCTGTAGTATAGACACTCTGTTCATGAAGAAGTGAATACAGAAAAAGGACTATCACAGTGCCTAAAACTCACACAATATTTCACAGTCTAAGCCAATTGCATAAATTCAACATCTAGTTTTTGAAGACAGTAATTACCACATTTTAAGAATGACAAAATACAAATGCAGAGCACGCAACCCAGATCTGTCTGGTAGCACAGTATTTTTACTTTATAGTCTCCTCATCCAGACAATGAGGATCCTTAATTGAAGTAATGAAAAAGCTTCTAATCATATCAATATAAAACTTAACAAAAATAAAAGATGGAGTCTAAACCAAATTAATACCTTAAATTCTTTTTCCCATGGTGAGGCTTACAGACTTATTTTGAGTTAAGGAAGAAACATGACTGCCAAAACCAAATCTAAATGCATATTCTATCTTTTCCGATAGTGCAGGAAGATCAAATCTATTACTTTTTATTGATGTTATTTAACTGGCTTTAACACAGTTATGCAAAAGATGGATTTTTTGCTCTGTTTCGAGAGACAAGACAATACAATTATGTAACAAACTATTACTGATCCCTTTAACCATTTTGAAACTTAAAGGAGTGATTCAGAGTGGACTTTCAGTGACATCCCAAACAGCATCCAAACCTTCCCTCCTGTCTCCTCTCAGAGCTGTCTGGCTTTGGGTGCTCACAGGCCATGATCCTTCCCTGACATCCACATAATTTGCTACAGCTGTTTAATACTAACTCTTTAAAAAGCAAAAAGTACTAAACATGTCTGAATTGTCATCATCATTTATCTCATCCAGACCATGAGATTGGGTGACACAATCCAAAGACGTGGAATGCCCCTAAGTCTGTGATGAGTGTTATGGGCATGGAGAACATTAGCTTCCACATAGGCCATTTCTCTCCATCTTTTCTGGGATTTCTGATGCCCCGTCCCAAGCTGCTGCATGCAAACCTTTCTCTGTTGGCTGTTGCCATTCACATAGATAAACCATGTTCAATTAATACTTGTCAGCCAAAATCACTAACTTTAGCTCCCCGGACAATTTGCTAGCTAGAGCCCACCGATGGTATACAATTATCCTAGGCATACTAAAGAGCATTGTCCTGTCATGGAAGTGTGAGTTACACCCTGGTTATTAATAT